TGACTCCTGTGATGTGAAAAAAGTGTTTCCATTGCAGTTTTGCTAAAAAAACACCAATTTCGATACGGCCGAAAAACCACCTCATCCTAGTGCAAAAACATTTTGTCGAAAAACGTAATTTTTTTCGAAACTGACGTGTTTCCATTGAGAAAATTTATTTTCGAAATTCTAATTTGCGCATTTTCATGGTCAATGGAAACGCAGCTAGTAACAGAAGCAAGGCTGCCATGCACCGGCGCCACCAGACCCTCTGACCACAGTCAGTAGGCAATGTGGGTGAAGTGTCTTGCCCAAGGACACAACGACTGAGACAGCTGGGAGAGGGATTGAACCGGCGGCCTTCTGGTTCCAGGACGACTCCCCCAACCACTGCACCACAGCCGCCAATTTACCCACAAGAACTGTTTCCAAACATGTACAACTAACAAAACAAACAAGAAAAACAAGTATTTTAAATCTGCATTGGCTTGTAATGTTAAAAAATAACTCAGCTGGTATAAAATTTACATATATTATCCTGGGGGGGTGTCACGTGATGCAGTGAAGATGAAAGGACTCCTGCTCTGGAGCTCTGAACAAAAACTCTGGTTCTGAATTATGTTTGACTCCTGTTTTGCTCTAAAACCTCCCATAACACGTGCATTATGGATCTAAGATCCCAAAATAAGACTCAAAGCTGGACTGTAGTGGTCAGAGGGTCCGGTGGCACCGGTGCATGATAGCCTCACCTCTGTCAGTGTGCCCCCGGGAAGCTGTGGCAACAGTGTAGCTTACCACCATCAGTGTGTGAATGATTGTAAGTGTAAATTAAATTTAAGACCAATTTCATAATAAACACAAATGACAAAAAAAATGTAGGAGCAATTCATGAATCAAAGTATTTTTGGTTGAAGTATTCAAATATTTTGCTAAGAGAACAATTGTTTTTATCCATATCTTTTTCGTTAAATATAGCAAAAACATTCTTAGCAGTCAGTTTAATGACCCAAAATTTGGAGTTATAGGAACCACAGCGGGGTCTTAACTGAAACCTTAAAGTGCCTTTGACATCAACATTTGTAAGTAAAGTTCATGCATTTTTGGAAATACAACTTAACATATTACAAAACAAATTTCACATTGCTAAGATGGACAGTTGTTGAGATAATTGCATGTGAAGTAACAGGAAGTGATGTCAAAGGGAAATACTGTATCTGCATATGAATATTTAAAAAATAGATGAAATGAATTACAATTATCTTATGTACAATGGGCCTCATGTAAGAACCGTTCGTACGCACAGATTTGTTCTTAAGTTGTGCGTACGAGTGATTTAGGAGAATTTGTGGCATTCACCAATGTTTTCGTATTCTAAGATTTTTTTCAGATACGAACAAAATTCACGAGTGGTCCAGACCTGTCGTATATTTTACATAGAAATGCGTACGGTGTGCAGC